CAGCACCTGCCACTGCCGCCTCTTCCAGCGAAGCGACTATCTGGCTCTCTCTCTCTCGGCACCCCCAGCACCAGCCTGGCCAGTGGCCGCTTCAGCATCCAGCGGTGTTTCCTCCTCCTTGGAGCTCCAGCTGGGCTAATGCTTCAGCATCCAGCGGTGCTTCCTCCTCGGAGCCCCAGCCGGGCTAAGGAAACTCCTGGGTGGCTTCCTCGGGCTCTTGCTCTACTTGGCAGAAAATCTGATGCGGCCCAGCCTCACCCAGACTCTGCCTCCAGCGGCCCCCAGGTAAATTGAGTTTGAGATCCCTGATGAAGTGTTATGCCTCTGTCAGGCCCTCTCATGAGGATTTCCAGCAGCACGTCGACTGCTCTCCTACATTCCTCTGTTAATTGCTGAGAACTTTAAGGACACATCTCTACCTCTTTCTGCTTTAAAGTGAGCAATACATGGGGAACTCACCCTGCCTCCCACAGATCCTTTGGATTCACAGACTGCTTAGGAGGGGTGAGAAACTTTTTGACATTGTGTTGAGCTTTTGAGCAGCCAGAAACAACACGAGAAACTTGAACCACTTCTATCTACTCTAGATTTCAGTTTCAGGCTGTGCTTACACACACACACACACACACACACTAGATTTCAGTTTCAGAGTGTACTTACACACACACACACATAAACACATCTACCTACTTACCTTCATCTTGGATCTTTGTTGTTCACCATGTACTGTGGTCTTGAGGGGAGTGCAAAAATCAGTGGTAGCCAATGGTAAATTACTGTATCTGTATCTTCCAGCTTTGGGCTATAATTTAAAACAGGAATTGAAGATGTACAGCTCTCTGGATGTCACAGGAATGCAACTTCTATCAACTTGATTAGTACACAATATAAGCTACCTTTCCCCACGAACAGCTCATCTGGTCTCAGATCAGTTGTTTATTTACACGGAATGTGAAATAAAAGTGGTGACCAACCTCTCCTTTCAGACCATTGTCTTCCTTTGGTGGATCCTCGTTGTGCAGTAGTTAAACTGCTGTACTGCAATGAAGACTCTGCTCACAAATTGAGTTTGATCCTGGGCTCAGGTAGCCAGCTTGAAGCTGACTCAATTTTCCATCTTTCCAAGGTCAGAAAATTGAGTACCCAACTCCCTGAGGGGGCAATGTGTAGCCTACATAATTAGCCAACTGTCCAGAGAAAGCTTTAAGCACTCTGGGGCAGTATGTAAGCAGCACCCTTCCTCTTTCTTGCGAACCATCCTTTAATTCAGGAACTTCTTGCACGACAAAGTTAGTAAGTAATTTTATGCTTAATGCATAAAATAATGGTTTGCCTCAAAGGTGATTAACCTAAGGGAGAATGGCCATGTTGAACTAATTTGATATCACTACAATATCCTTTTGTCCAATGTGCTCATGGTTCTGATGTGTCAGATCTTCATACTAGCTATGTTGGCTATCTTCCAGCTGTTATTGGCTGAGTACCTCCCATCAGCCATCCAGTAATTTAGTTATTTCATTACCTAATAGAATTCCTCCAGTTATATTGGTATGTGTATCAATATGGATTGATGTGTGGATATACGAGATGATGCTTGCATATTCTGTACCAGCTCTGTTTAGTTTTTGGTGTTTTCTTCTACTTTCTCCCAGAAGTTCACTGGGAGAAAATGAGGTGATGAACGTCAGACAGTTGAGAATCTGGAAGAAGTGTATCCTGCCCTGTAAATTACAACAGTGAGATACTTTAAATCAGTGCATTCATTCAAGAACTAAAAAAAAA